TCCTCCCTGGTTTGATTTTTCCAGCCATGTAAGCATTCCAGTCTGTGTACAAGGCAAAGCTCCCACAGTAAGGACAGGTTCCTAGAGCCAAATGGAGACTAACTGCAAAATGCTGACCGACTATTTGGTTTAGTGATACCATGAAGAAGAAGAAGCAGTAGAGTAGGCACAAGTGTTCCTTAGTTACTGTATGTGTGCATATGCTTGTATGGGTATGAGTATGCAAGAATGATGTGTAAGCCTTTGCATAAACAAACGCATGACAGGGTCTTAGCTTGTCATTGGCATCTTTCTGTCTGGTGGAGCTAAGTAATAAATAAACAGTTTACCATAGCCCCCGAGTAGTGCAATTTCTGCTCAAAAACTATTTCTTGTGATTTTCTCTGGAGACAAGTGAGCTACTTTTCTCCACAGGAGAACAGGCTCAGAGCTGGTTCCTGGTGTGAAAAGACAAACTAAGAGGAGGAATGGGTTCAACAAAAACAGCAGGGCAGAAAGTCAAGATGCTGCTGACATTACTGTCACACAGGAGGTCAGCAGCTGTAATAACAACAAGCTGTAATAAACAAACACTCCACACAAGTAATGTGTGTTTGAACCATGTTTGAACGTACAGGCACAGTTTAAGCTGTTTTTATATTGTTTAATTGCAGAGAATAATCTGGTAAGAGAAATGATATTGTGCTCTTGTGATAACTGAAGAAAACACTGAAGAACTATAAAGAATTCAGAAGTAAATTCAGCAATTTACAAAGGAAAATAAGCCCAACAGCGATGGAAGAAGTTCTCCTTCTTTACTTGAGTAAAAGTAATACAGCAAAGAAATACAACAAATTAAGAATACCCCTCTTACAAGTAAAATCTCACTTAAGGAAAATAACAGATGTATTAGCAGCAAAGTGTACTTATAATTTAAAAGCTTTCTGCAGAAAATACAAACAAATATATTACATTATTAAATTGTTAATACTGATAGATGAGTGCATAAATAGCATTTCACTGTTGTGGCTAGTTGAGGTCCATTTAGATTGAACTACTATATATACAATTTAGTCAAGTGGTTCCCAATCTATGGGTTGACCCCCTCAAAGGGTCACAAGAGAAATCCAAGATGATTAATCAGGTAGGGAAAAATAAAAAATCAAAGTTCAAATTTGAGTTAATTTTTGGGGATCATTGCTGTTTTTGTAAATTAGTTGGGCATCAAAGAGGTAAAATTTAAATGAAACCATCTGAGAGGTTTAGAGAGGGGATTACTCTTTGGTAGAATTTTAACAATATACAGCTGTAATTAAAAGTCTTTGACATTTCAACCGAAGATAAGATAGAGGTGTTGCTATTTTAGTGTTTACAATAATGTCAAGTAATAATCTCCATGTTGGTGATAGGCAGTCTACTTATAACTAGGACTGATGAATGATGGGAACAAACTATTCCTAAAAACAAAACAATAAAATACTTTCAACCAAATACATCAACTTGAATTGACTTGATATGTACATGATGAAGCCATAACGAATATATTCAAAGCTATCGATAACTACGCTATGAGAGCAAAATATGCCTAATATACATGTCTGACACCAAATAAAGCAACTGCACAGCCTTAAACACACAAAATACATAATACCGCACTTTGCAATCAAACCTGATTCATCACCTGTTTATTTCCACATTCCTGACCAAGAACAACAAGTTATTCATTCAACTCTGCTCACGTTGAAAAGTCTGTTCACCTCTGTATCGAAAGAACACCATATCTTGCAAACACACATTGTGGGTTCAGTGGGGTCTAAATTTAGTTTAGTTAGTTTATGTGTTTTTTATGCTGACATGTCTGACATTGGGCACAATGGCAGAGTTCCAATATTTGCTCAGGCACAGGTACATATCACACACTGGCACACTTTCTGGATTTCACTGACGTCAGAAGTCCTGCTATATCTCACACGGCCCTGTGAGTTTCACATGTGGGCTTCTCACAATCACTCACGCATGCACACACACACACACACACACACACACACACACACACACACACACACACACACACACAGATTAGCCCTCAGCTTATCTCATCAGTCGTTTGCTGCAGCAAGGCATTTGAAAATGTTGGTGAGCAAATGGCATCAGCTATCACACAGGTTCTGCACGAATGTCAGCTGGACAGGAACGTCAAGGTGAAGCTCACACTAATAGACTAACCCATATCTGATGTATCAAGGTGAATCAAAGGAGTTTTTATGATTGGTCTTTCATCTGACCACTGCATATGGCAGGACTGAAACTGATCAGGGTTGTTTTATCAGTGCCTGTAGCTTTTGAGAACTTGTACATAAGTCCAGGGAATGAGCAGAGGCGTAGTCTGTGCTAAAAACAATTTAATACTACAGACCTGTTGAGACATGTTGAGACAAATACTGATAATAATGCCAATACTGATACACTACTCTGCTAAAATCTTAAATAAATAATAATAATACAGGTCATATTGTTTGTGTGCATTTGTGTTCATGCTTATAGATGTGCATGTGTATATGTGGTGGTATTTTGTCATTATGCCTCCAGATAAAAACTATAAAACTGTTGCTGTCCGATTTTGAGCTTTTGAATTCATTTGAATGCCCATTCATGAGCAGCCTTTTCAAAGTGCAGCTGTATTCACAAAACTGGACACACATATTCACACCTCAAGGGCCGTTCCGTTGAGTTTTAGAAGCTGTTGAAACCTTTGTCGACTGCTTCTTCTTATTTTAGCATTAAACATACAGCACAGCATTCATGGTTTCCATAACCCTCAACTCACCCCAAACCTATCCTGTCGACTCTTGATCTCTGCTGTCCACACTGTCCCCCAGAGTAAAATGCTCCTGTCAGGAAAAAATCCTACATGCTGACCTTTAACCTGGTTTGTGAATGTAAAAGTATTGCTCTCTTGTTAATAATGCACACCTACCTGCAACTCAGCAAAACACTGTTTTGGTTTTATATACTACTTCAAAGGCCACACACAGTGTGTAGGGCAAACTGCTTGCCAGCCAAAGGACTGGCACTAATTCAGGCTTTGCTTTGTCATTGGAGGGCCTTGACTGAGCAAAACAAGCTAAAGCCTGCTGATTCTCACCGATGGCCACTGATTACAGCCATGATACTGAGGGACTAAAGTGGTTTGGTTAGGATCTTCATGTGCGGACGAAGTGACTGACTGCGCTAAATAAATGCCACTGATTCATACTGACCATAATTCCATGATGGTTATTTCTCTGTAAACAAGAACATTACATAAAGCACATGAGTTTTTTTTCCACACACCTTACAAAACTGCACTGAGTGCATTCAGTGCTTTAAATGATCCTAAATATGCAATGAAACATGAAACAGTGTCGTAGATAGGTTTTAAAGTTGCCATATTAACCCAAAGAACATCAGAGTGTATAAAACACTTTTCTACCATTATACTTTAAACTACTTTGCTTTAAACTGTGTCATTCCATTAAGTTGAATTAGCTGAATAAAAATGTGACTGTCAGCATTATTATTATTTCAGTCGGAAAAGCAGGTATTGCTAATGTTTTGTTCCTGTCTCATGAATCCATTTGGTATACACAGACCAAACAGAGACAGAGCCTGTAAGCTGAGCAAAAATAGAGGCTGAAACCTTTAGACAAAAATAGGGGTGGATGCAGTCTAGTTCCTGAGGGCATCCTGGCAGCAGGTTATTTGTTTTTGTGGTGTTATGTGTGCAGAGTGAAAAATTGCGTGATTGTGCACGTAAGCAACTTTATCTTTTTATGTGCACACATATTTTTGCCTTTTAAAGTAGAAGCACAAGAGTGCACATAATCCGTGCTTATGTATGACAACATTTATTGGAGTGTTTGTGTATACGTTTATGTATTTGGAGGTTTGTTGGGTACCTGTGCTGTTGGTTCGCCCGCGGTAAATGTCGTCGTAGTTCTTCCACTGCTGAGTAACCTGGTAGGCGTGGATGAATACGACCACCACCGCAACCAGACAGATGAGTGGCACCAGCACCGCCGTGCACAGAGCTGCGTAGATGTTCGGGATGAAGCATCTAGAGGAGGGTCATTCAGAAATGTGAGTGATTAGTTTTGTTTCAGCGTATGTAGAAAGAAGCAGAATGTACTTGAAAAGAAGAGAAATGGAAAGACAGAGTGGTGGAAGTTGTGCTAAAAAGCATTAAGTAAAGAGTGTGTCCTGCTCAAAGGTAAGCCCTAGAAAACAGAAACATATTACATGCATATATTGCTCACATTTACTCAAGTTAAGCCCTTGTTCCTTCAAGTTTCACAAACAGGATCTGGCCTGTGAGACCTCTGAGTCTCACAACACTCTTGCTCAACAGCAGCTTTTGCCCTCAGCAGCAAAATACGTATGTTTTTAAATCTTCTGAACAACCAGGTCCCCCTGCAGCTACAGCGGGATAATATCTAAGGCCAAAGACGCTTAAAAGTGTTTTTCTATTTAAAGGATGAGAGAACATTGCAAAGCACAAACAACACGTTACATTTGTTTCCTGCTTTGAAAGGGAGATAAACGTGGAGTGGTTATGTGAGTTCATCTGCTGATCCAGCCTAACAGCCGAAGGAAAGACTTTTGAATTTATTTGGGGACAAACTGGATTTCAGGCTTAAGAGAAATAATAAAAGGTCAAAAGAAAGCTTACTTCTTGAAAAAGTGGAATTCTTTATTAAAGCTTCCTGTTTTAAAAAAATACGATCAAGTAACTTATCCCTACAATTTGTCTAGTTTTTATCTATTTGTCTGTCTCTATGTTGTTTTCCTGGGAAATCTCATAAGTGAATGATTTTTCTCTGGGAAAGTCAACATCCTCATATAAACTGTAACTGCCAAACAACTATCAGAACACTTGTGTGACTTTGTCCTTTTCACACAACAAGCTCAGCCCCTGGTTTGGTGGGAGCATGTAAAACAGATAGCAGACTTGAGACTCACCGCAGACTTGAGAAATCGCAGAGAAATAATTGTGGTTATGCTAGTCATAACACAACATGAGGTATGCCAAATAAAGCATTGCATCACCCTGTCCCAGCAAGACAGCCTGACTATGAGATTGCAAACACACTGGAATATGGATATTTGTACCGCTGTGGCCTTGTGAGAGGAATGTGAAATGTAGTGAATATAGACAACATTACCAAGGGTCCCATTTCACCAACATCATGGTTTGAGAAAGAAGAAATAAAGTGAGCAATGCCTTTTATGGGGGGATTTCCATTGAAATGCTGCTGGGATTTTCTTTTTTATAGGTCGTAGAGGTTGTGGGTCACTGAAGTACAGGGCCTTGTTTAAGGAACACCTAATAGAATGGTAATAATAAGTGAGAGAGGACTAAATACTGTAACTGACATGAAATTCAATAAATACAAGTGTGCCAACATTGTAAGTATTCTATCTATATATCTCATTTTCTATCTATATCATACAATAAAAAAAAACATTTAGATAGTTAAATATCAATAAACCTGCCTAATAATTATCTATTAATTATTTATTTATATATTTCAGGTGTTTTCACAATGCACATTGATCAACATCAATGTACAGTGCTTTACAAAAGGCTCATTTTCAACTGTTGTTCCTTTGCCAGATGTTAAATTAGCCATTAAAACAACAACATGATACTCAACATCTAAAATTAGAACAGGAGGGGGCAAAACATGACGCAGCTGAACAGGAGACTCTATTATAATTTATTCGTCTGCTTTTATGTTCACAGTTTCTGTTTTATTCACACTTGAATTTAAAGACAGGTCTGTTACATTTAAGAAACGTCACTATTTAATTTATAGACATACAATGTATGTGCCACAGTAAACCCACAGAGCAGTTCCAGGAGCTCTCAACCACACAATGTGAGACCCAGCTGGATGAAGGAAAAACTTGACTATAACAAAAATATGGAATCATGACATAAACAGGGAGAAAAATGGAGATCTGTGATTTAAAGGTGGGGTATGTGATTCTGGAGAAATCCAACAGAGCGACATACTTCTATATTCCTGTAGCTATCGAGTCCAACATGGATCTACTTGTAGACTATAAAAGTACTATATTTGACCTTATACTGAAAGTTGAAAACAAAAGGTTTTAGAATATACTATATGACAAAAACACATACAATTACAACACAAATACAATATATATGACACAAAAATGCTCACTGATGCAAAGTCCGAGCTTGACACCTGTTTACACACAGGCATGGTGAAACTGAGACAGCTTGAACTGAGAAAACAAGGCCTGTTCTGCCTCATCGTCCTCTGCCTCAAAGAGGAAGGTACGCTTCCAGGGGAACTGAATACTCTTCTGTGTCCTTGAATCGCTCATGTATACCCTCACTGTCTCACATATACCCACCCACAGGAAATACGCACTCACACGAGACCCCAAGGATAACAGCCACACCTAAGACCACTGGCTAATTTTGGACGGGATTTAAGAGTTCGAACTTAATCACTATTTGACTTCCCCTGTTACGCACCCTTGATCACACACGAAAGACGGCAACTCAAGCACATACGTTGCCCTGTAGAAAGTTTACTTTTGCAATTACTACACACACACTCACAAACACACACATACACTTCAACATAAACACCCTTGTCCTGATGGGACAGAAGCTGGGAAAGAACTCCTCATTCGTGACAAGATGATGAGCGGTTATTTTTAGTTCTCTCTCTCTCACTCACACACACACAGCCGCATAGTATATGGGTCATTTAAGGTTTCTCGCTTCCTGCTGTATGACAGCCTCCACCTCCAAGGTAAGGTTTTGACATGGGGAGAAACAATCAGTTGATTGGGCAAGCTACCTCCTCACATGATGTCACTGGCTCAGGTGTTTTTTATGTTTGTACTCTTGCCTGAAGTGGAATTTACCTAAGTTTAAAAAAGAAACTGAAGTCACTACGACTGACTCAGGCTGGTTTAAAAAACACACTCTTATGAAAACAAATTACAGTTGTTATCAGTTCTTAAGGCCACTTGTGTATGCATGTGTTTTGCACTGTCCACTCACACGTCTCCTTGCACCAGTCCATATACAGAGTGTATGGTCCATCCAAAGCCGCCAAGCAAGACGATGACCAAGACAATGATGACCAGAGCAGGAAGTCCCCAGCCCAACAGGAAGTAGAGCAGATATTGACGGTCTGTGTGCTCGTCATTCATCACCAGCACTTGCCAGAAGTTCACCGCCTGGGGGGCACAGTTTGAGAAAAGAACTTGTGTAAAGGACTGGTAGGAGAAAAACAGTTATGTGCTTACACAAGTGACACCTTAATAGACTAATATTTCTCTTAAACTTATAGGAGCCAAATAGTGTTGTGAGGAAAGGCATAAATTATTTATTTTTTCTTTGCCTGTGAGGACATTTGATCTTCGTTGTGAGTGAAGTACTAAACGCACACATACAATCACATTTGTACTGCACCCACAATAGCTATGTTTGCTTTGTAATCTAGCAGGCTTTGATAGTGACATCCATCTGATACACTAAGTCCTGCATTGTTACATAAGCAGCTTTTCTGAACACCTGTTGGTTACACACAGACACAATGTCTTATCCCTGTGTAAAGACCTCAGCAGACAATTGCATATATTTCAGACAGTTTTAAACCACTGCACCAGTGAAAACCAAATTGCAAAGGTTAAGTTTTAAAGTCAAGCTCAGAGGCAAAACACAGTAACTCTCCAACTTCTGTGCTACAAATTGATGACCTTTACTCCACCTAGCCTCATTTAGACCAAACTTTTTAGAGACTATAAAGATTTAACGTTAATGTAAAAAGGAAACAAATATTTAGGAATTATAAGCAAAGCAATTAAAAGTCCCTTCTTCAGTTTAGAGAGATAAACATTTACGCAACAGCTCAACAGCTATCATGAATAACAGCTGAGGGTGGTTATGGCTGTCCATCTGTCTGTGAACACTGACGTAACTAATGACAGGAGGTTAAGGGATGCTAACCTCCCCCTTAGATAACCTCCGTCTCCCCCACAATCATAACCATAGTGTATAATTACTTACACAACCAGTCCAGTTGTGTAACAGCTCGACTGCAATGCGCTGAGACAATAGCGTGATGTCGGTGTAGATTGAAGAACCTTTCCTTGACTGTGAGCATGATGGAGTTATTGAGGTACAATAAAAGGATTATGGGTAACTTTGTGCTGAGCTGTTGCCTCTGCAGTGTCTGTTGATACTGTAGCCTAAGAACAAAGCAATGGGTTACCAGGTTAAATGACTGGAATACAAATCAAAATGCTTGCTGACTAGCTGGCTTGATGATTGGTTATGGTTTTGTCACATGCATGGACTGTTTAAAAGGTTGGATCAACCAAATTACAAAAACAACAACTTTTCTGACATATAGTGGTATCTAGACATGCAAATCATTTGGTTTTGTTTTGTATTTAGACTGCATTAGGGTGACAGCAGAAACTCAGAGACAATATCTCAACAGCTTGACAAATAAAACTGAAACTATCTACATTGCTGGATATCACAGAAAGTAAGTCATTTATCGTAATTAAGGGTTAACAGATCCTTCAAGTGTGATTGAAGCAGTTGCACCGTATGTCCGACGACATGGCCACTGGTAAACACACGGTCAAAATTGAATACATTTGTCTACTAGCAACTAACTACCTAACTACAAAAATGTGAAACTGGCACCCTGACTGGCTGTTTGTCTGACTAACAACTAGTACAGTGGAACAGGGTAGAAATACACTGTAGGCCAGAGCTGTACAGTATTGTTATGTAATATTATGCAGTTTCTCAGTGAGCTGAGGTTGACTCTGCAAGCCTCTGCAGTCAAGAAAAAGCTGGCTTGAATAGTGATTTTTGGCATTAAGTCAGCGCACAATCTCCTCACCAACTATTGGGTGTGCACATCCTCACCCACACACACCCACACACAATGCAGTTATTGATTTAAAGTCTTCTTCATGGTCTGAGATGGGTTGCTGGCGCCCACTCATATCAGCCACTTAGCTGAAATCAGCTACCTGATAGGGGGGGGAAATTTGTGGTGACACAACACTGGGGTCGATACTGAGACGTCGGTGAGGACAGATGGGTTCTAGTGCTGCACATCAATGAAATCCAGAGTTGCAGCAGTATTTTCATTGTCAGCTACTATTGTTGCTGACAATAAAGAAATGAGGACCTTTCTGGCAGGGGTGTTACAGAACATGGGTAATGTAAGAAAAAGTAAATCTATGTAAGTGAGTCAGTGTGTGAGTGAGTGACCGAGTGAGTGAATGACTGAATAAAAAACTGAAAATCCTAAGTGATTTTTTTTCTTTTCAACGCTACATTTATCCTCCTATTTGAACTCCTTCTGGGGTAAATCATGGTTTAGGTTTTCTCCATTAGACCGTATCAGCTCTACTACCATACTAATTACTTCCATTGTACAACTTACTACAACCATTACACTGTGTCAAACCCACTTTAACGTCAAAACACATTTTATCTCACTGCCAATTTTCGTCATCCAAATTCTAACACTTCATAAGCCAAGAGAAAGCCTTTGGTGTGAACCTTTATCCCTTAAGATATCTCAGAGGGCGTCTGTTAAACATTTTGATGTGACAAAAACACTGCATACATCCATCTTATTCAAAGGTCTAATCTCATAATACTCCATCAATAATAACGTATGTGCCAGGGAAGATTATATCCACCACATAAACAACAATTACGTTCACTTACAAACGTCACAAGTTGGAAAAAAAATTGAGCCGTGATGGAAAAAAAGTTACATAAGAAAGTTCACTTGGGGACAGGTCTCCTCAGTATACTGGTCTGCTTCCCATATTTATGTGGTGGACCTCATTTTAACCCAGCCTAAATTACTTGTACACATTCTTAATATCTAAATCATGGTTGGACACAGAATGACAGTTTTATGAGATTTTGAGTCATGATGACAATGGATCCCATTTTCCACCTTAAAATGTGAAATATTATTTGGGCCTGAGCTTTCATTACTGTTTTCACAACACAGTCAGCCACAACCCAGTGAATATAAGTTGGTTTGCAGTCCGTTCTAAAAACTAAACCATGCTGTCCTAGTTAAGGTCAGTGTATTTTTAAGTTGTCAAAATCCTAAACAAATGTACAAGGAGTTATTTTAAAGTAATTGTTTCACTGCAGGGCAGGATTTGGAGGCAGATCAGCTGAGGTAAAGGGTCTATCCCTGGGGCAGCGTTCCTCCCTAGAGCCAGATGTATTCCGGCCCATGTTTACCACATTCCTGTGCTCTATCAGCAGGCCAAGTCATATATAGTCTCTCTGAAGGATTAAAATGGTCTTAGGCGAGATTTACACTGCACCTAAAAATCATAATCTTTTTTGGCTTTGTGTGTGGCATACATCTGATGTATTTAATTGTATAAACATTAACAGATTAATAAGTGCAGTATTTTGGTGTTTAAGCAGCAATGAAGTATAAATCTAGCCTTAATATCTTCATCATGTGCACATGTTAAGCTGCAAGGTGGGACTTTGCCTGCCAGGCTTTGTTCTTGGCAGTTCTATAAAAAAGAAAAAGACAAGAAAAAAGAAATAAAGAAAGAAACAGAGGGCAGATGGTCAAGAAGGAGGGGGAGAGGTGTTACTAAGTGGTACCAGTCCAGGGTCAAAGATCATGTCATGCAGCTTTCTGGTACATTCATCTTACCCCCAATCAAAACCTGCCTAAGCCCACGTAGTGGGGGAATTAAGTTTCACTAGTTATTACGTAAAAAACACATGCTTTATGTAAGGAACAAAAGACAAAAGAAAGAATAGGAAACCTGTTGATGCCAAGTCATGAGGAAAATAAGAAAAAGAAGAAAAGGGGGTTTTACTTATAGGGCCCATATATATATATTATATTATATAATCATATCTGATAACAAAAGTGATGTTCAGATTAACTGCAAAACACTACAGTGACATATTAACAATATAATAAGGTTTAGCTGTATGGCAACAATTACTGCAAAAACAATTGGTTTAATGCAATAAGTAGGGTACGTTTATTAGTTGCTATGTAGAGTCAAGGGTGTCCAGTGTTGCTTCTTCTTGCTGTTACCTGGATGAGCATCCAAAAGAACTGACTGAGGTGGAAATAGTGAGAGAAGAGCGCCAGAGTGGCACAGCTGTCCTCTGAAAACATTCGGCCATGGAAAGCTGACACCAGGAAACACATCTGTAGAGAAAGAGTGAAAAAGACAACTTTAATATCACCATTACCATTGTGTGTAAATGAGCCTTTCATCCTATCGCCTAGGAAGCAGCAGCAGCAGCAGCAGCAGCAGCAGCAGGCTTTTATGGGAATCACTGCATGAACATAATTTGCTCTTTCTAGAGAGCATGGTGACAATGCGATACACACAGGTGCAGTAGGCCTTGCAGTGTCAGCCGGTCATATTGCGCATGAGGCAATTTATTGCTTATTTCATAGTACATATACATTATATATATATATATTCCTATACATATTCATTTTTAAAGGAGACAGAAGGATTCAGATAGCCCCCCTACTTAAGCAGGGCATCCTATCCTGCAGACCTGTTACATCACCATGCAGCAAGCTATACAGGCAGGAGCAAAAATAAAAACATCAACAAAATTTAAACCACCAATATGTTCCTTTCATAAGAATAAGAACTTCCACTTGGGTGTAACACTTCTCTAAATAACGGAATAAAGGGCAATGCAGAATCACAGCAGAAAACAGTTTGTGGTTAGTGTGTGTGTGTGTGTGTGTGTGTGTGCGTGTGAGAGAGAGAGAGAGTTTTGTAGGTGGGAACGCATCAGGGCCAAAATTCAATTTGTAACATTGGAGGTGGAAAACCCATGAGGGCAGCAGAAAATCCTGCTGCTCTGCTGTCCATCAGAAAGCTTCATTAACCTCAAGCACTGACAGAGAATGGTGCCAATGCAGCCGGACGACTGTTACATAACCTGCAGCTTGTCGGCCTTCTGCCAGTGCCATGGACCAGAGACAGTGAATGGAAGAGAGCAGGAGACGATGGATGTGGTAACCTGGTGTCAAATGTTACTTACATTATATTCATGACACTGAGCATTCAGGGACATAGTAGCAGACACAGCTTCAGGTTAGAAAAAATCTGCTTAACACTGAGTATATTTTGTTGTGTATGTGTGTAAATAGTGTCGTAACAGCTCTGTGTCTCTTTATCCTACACATACAGTAATCACATCTGTTACCTCAAGAGTCATTTAATATGACTTAAGAAAAGCCAAGCACATGATTCTGAAGACAGATGAGGTGAGTTCTTTATGTCTCCAAAACAAGCTAATGTATTCTGTTGGTACCACCTTGTTTTGGCTAATTTGCTTAGCAAGGCAGTCTCTATGGCCTGCTTCTCTACAGGCTTTCTCTTCAAGTCTTTTTTCCCCTCTGTCCTATTTTCTTACATTTTGCACACCCATAGGGAAAATCCTAAAAAAACACTCCTGGATTTTCCAGCTCTTACTAACCCTGCCTGCATCCTCCTGTTGAGTAAGGGGAAAAGTCATGGCCTTTTTAAAAAAGAAATAAGAATCATGAGTCAGTTTCCCATCCATGCTCCAAGCCCTGCAGGGTGTGAGTGGGAGGGATGGAAGAGGAAGGAAACTCGTGCCTGAACTGCCTGGAATCGTGCCTGAGTGGAGAAGCTGTTCAGGTAGCTTATGGGAACAAAGATTATGCGGCGGGGTTGTGTGTTTTTGGCAGAGAGTTAGCTTCATCTGGCCAAAGGCACAGTATGACACACCATCCATCCTCTCAAAAGCAAAACAATGGGGAACTACCAAGCGAGAAATGCTAAATCAACTGCAGGACGCTAGACACATAATCATAAGCGAACATGCAGTACAGACACGCATGTTTGTTTAACACAAAAGGATTTAATTTTGTGAAATCAAGCGTGGGGCACAGTCAAGAGTGGGGCATGCACAAAGGGAGTGGCAGCGCCCTTTAGGTATTTTTGTGGCTGTGTGCACCAAGGGCACACATGGAAGTGGAGTGTGATATATTATCAGGGGGTGCGTTAGGGGCCTGTGGATCACTTTGGCTCATCTCATCCTTGTTAATGATTATTTGGGGTGATTTAAACGATATTTGGTTGGATCTACAGCAAATGCGACAATATCGTCAAAAATCAAACACTAGTAACACAAGTCTTAACATGCCACAGCTTTGAGCAACAAACCGGCACAAATTTAATGTAGCCTTTCGTGACAAACCCTAATAGCCACAGGGATAACCATTGAACCACTGAAACTACTGACCTGAGTTGAAACGATGACATAACAGGTTATGAGAAATGACCTTATAGGGAAGGAGGGCAAAGGGCTGAAAAGAGTGCGTGCAAGCAGTGGTGTGAACAGACCGGTGGCTGCCCACAACATGTTTATGTGCCAATGTGTTTGTGTCCTCCATGGAGCTGAGCTAGGAACTACCTGGCTCAGGTCAAGGATTGAAACCAGGTAAACAGGTATGGTGAACCAGTCTGCGTGAGTCAACAGGTAACAAGGTGTGTACCATAAAGATTTGATTTCATTAGAGCTAGCATCTGCATTTTCAAAAGACCCTAAATTAAGTAATGACTGGTACACACGCAACACAAACACACTGACAGGAACTTGATCTAACCTTTTATTGCTTTTGTGTCAACTACATAATAAGGGTCTGGCCAACATATCATACTTCATGCCATATGACTAAAATAACAGGTCAGGGCATTAAACTGTAAAAAGATCTGAACCACTAAAGTACATACGGTGTTTCTACATGGCTTATTTTCTTTTATGTAACATTGAAGGGGAGGCTGTATAGACACATATACACTGTGCAGTGTAGGTCTGAGTGAACTTTTTCAACTGAGCCATTATGTTTTCTGTAAATAGACAAGTAAGACTGCTGTTGCCATTAACTGGGGCAATGTGTATTGAAGGGTAGCGTTATCTGCCTAGAAACACTGGCTGTCACGGGAACCAATTTACATTGGAGGCTAAAAACAAGCCTCCAAATAAACACAGGAAACAGATCTTCGGATCCTTGGAGGAAGAAATAATGCCAGACATCCTGTAATCTGAGCCTGGCATAAACTAGAACATGCAATGAAACTACACCAGCGAAGACAATCTCTATTCTGAAACTAGCATGAGAAATAGGGTGTGACAGAGATAAGGGGCACTATAGGGAACTAATTACATTTAGGACAAACAAACTGAATTTCTAACACTAGGAATGCTAAATGGCACGAAACACACAGAGTAAAACAGAAGAGGGGGAAGTGGTATGGGGGAAAAGGGAATCAATACGGTTTCATGACAGAGCAGACTGATCCTCAGGGCAATTGTCAGTGTTTTTATACATTATCAGTACTGACATGCAAACACCTAATTTACTCTGCTGGAACAATTAAGCAACTGCCTCTGTTATATATAGTATAGTTACCTGTGAGGATGGAGGGGCTATCTTGGACAAAAACCCAAACTACATCCATTTGTTCTTTGATTGCGTAATTCCTATACCTGTTACTTGAATCTCACTGAAGAGACGACACGTAAAGAGATTGCTATAATTCAAGCAAGTGTTATATGGACCTTTGTAGAGGCTTCTTAGTTGAGATTAAGTAGGTATGGAGGTAACAGTTACATATGTGGCCATTGTCCAGTCAACTGTGAAAATAAAATTGGTATATTTTAGCACTGTAGTAATTATGACCTGCTACAGGTTAGAATGGTGGGTAGGTGACAGGTGTGGGTTTATTAGAGCCCTATCTACTGCTCTGTCCTTTGTCCTCAAGCCTCCTTCTCCTTTGTGAAATCACCAGGACCTGACCTGATTAAACCCTCATGCCTTATAGCCCTAAAAGCAGACTGTGAGGTGCAGCAGGACTCAAATTACAAGTCATGTCAGTGCATTGTTTGTTATGTGCGTGCTTTCGTGTCTGGAAAAACAGGAACCACCAGAGCCAACACACATTATGCCTGAATACAACTAAGTTATTGCCCTGTTGTGCAAAGATTACATATAAAGATGCTGTCTCACTCACATGTGATTTTGTCCACAACACCCAGGAAATTACCCGAGAGCACATGAGGGAGAGAAAGTAAGACATTATGTCATAAGGAGATATTACTGTAGGAGACACAGGCCATGACAAGGTCTTTGAGAATACATATAAAAAGTTGAAAAACAAAGCAGCTTTTCTTCTGCAGAATGTTTTTGTGGCCTTGTCATCAGGCCCATGGCTTTAAGCCTGAATTACTGGTCCTTCTCCTAGGCTATGTGTCCAATCAGAGACCTCCCCTATGTTTTGTGTCCCTGAAGCACCCAGGAGACTGGCAGTTCACGTTTTTTGTTGTTGTTTTTGTTCCAGATCGACTGTTCTTTAGACAAGATTCAACCTCCCTTTGATATGATAAACAGGTCTGAAAGAAAGAAATAGCTTATTTTCCAACCATAGCTCAGCAGCAGTAAATGATAAAGAAGGTGGCCTTAGCCAAAATTAAATCTCAAGAGAACAGAAACATGTAAGAAGCATTAGAAGCACCATACCGTAAAAACCTGAATAAAGCTGCCTGCACCAATTAAAGGGCACGACTGTTTGCTTATAAGGTATAATAAAGAAGATATATGCTGCAAAAGCAATCTGCACACAGGAAACTACTAAAATGTTGGTGCAGTTACTTTGTGCTGCTGCTGGTTGCAGCTCTCATCCTCCCAGTGTGTTTTGCTGCTAATCGATAGCCCTGTGTGCTCACTGGTAGCTAAATGTACCAGTGTGGCTAAAAATAGAATCTGCCTGATGCATTACATCATTGAGGGTATGGAGCCTTAGTTGTCTGCTAGACTATCCATCTAGACTCATGTCCAAAACACAACTTCCACCTCTCCCCTCCTCCAGGCTCCTTTATCCCATCCTTCTCCTCTACCCCCAACTCCCTCTCCATCCTCTGTTCCACCCTGCAACACCCCCCCTCTATTTCCTCCTCCTCCTCTCTAACAGCTACCGGTCTGATCTAGCTGGTTCCAGCCTCAGCCTGCACCCTGGGTGTTTCCTCTTTTGCCTTTGTTCAGAAACAGATAAAGCGAAAGAAAGGTAGAAAGAGAAATATGAGATTATCAAGACACCCTAACTCCCTTCATCATTTTCTCGCTGAATCAATGCCTTCTTATCAAGCAACTTCATTCCTCATCACTATCAATCACGCCACTTCTTCTCATTCGCAGCTGACCAAGTAACACTAATCTGGCAACTTAAATATGTACAATTATGCCAGTTATTCAGTGCCAAAAAAAGTAATTTTTTCTTGCCTTACACTATTATTTATGTGCAAGCATCAGCAGTCTCCTCACGTGCTGCAGCCAAACAGTTCATGCATGTCCGCTGTTTACGTGCTGAAGCACACAGGACAGCCAACAGCAGGAAGCCAGTCACATAGGGATTGCTGATAGCTGGGTTAGTGGGCCAGCGTGTGTGGAGAAAGAGGAGAGATTTAACATTTGCTGACAAGACATGTAGGGTTATTAAAATAAAAGTGAAGACAAAAACAGACGAGCCCGGCGTGAGCTGCTGCATCTCAGTCGAGATGGAAAAATCTTACTGTTGCAAAGTGCCTTATGTCATTTTGAGATAAACAGAGCCGCTACAACTATATTTTGAGCCTCAGTGGACACTTCAATAACATACTATGCAAGAGTTGTTAAGTGTTTTTGAGCGTTAAGTGACTTAAGGTCAGGGTGTAGAAGTAAAGTTCTTAGTGTTTTGGGTTGAATCTCAGGCTGAAGCTTACTTGCTGAGCCAGTTGTTGGCAAATAAACACCCACACTTTAGTCTGTTTCACATTCAAACAACCATAACACCTGCTTCTGTGAAGCAGGGAGGGACATATCAAGAGCCCCTACCACATATTCTACGAATGATTGATTTATTCCCAGAATAAATCTGAGTTTTGATGTGATCCGGTGTGACACAGCTATATGGGACTGTCAGTAGCAGGCAGTTTAAACAAGCTCAAACATCGTCAACAAGTTACAGTGTCAGTAGTGTCATTGTTAATGGAAGCTAATAATCAATAAAACATTTTGTACAATACCTAATGCCTTGTTCCACATGTATTTCTAATGTATTACATTAAAAAGAATTCCAAATTACTACATGTTTTACATATACACACTTATTGTAAAGCATCTTAAATTGGGATTGTTTTTCTTGTTTTCTGCGTGGTGTGAAGACTAAATATAATGGTAATATGGCTCATCATAATCAGTTTCTATTTAGTGAACGCACATGTAGATGAAAACTACTCCCAATGACATTTTTGCTGTTGTTGCATCTCCTCCCAATGCTCATGCTAAACTCATTCAGAGACCAATGCTCATACTCACTCCCCCATAGAGAAGATCTCAGCAGTACCACCCACATGAAGGGCATTTAGCTGCATTCCAGCCGGCCTCCTCTCTTTCTCCCATTCACACTTCAGTCAGTGTCTGCTGCTGGAACCCTGCAGCTGCTTTCGGTCGCAACAGGGCTACTTTCAAGAAGCCTCTTGAATTTCCTTCCTCAACATCTGGTGTGAACAAGTCTGGAGACCAGACAGAGAACTCTTTGGGCTGCAAGGCACGAGACACACGCACACGGATTCAAGTGCATACACACACCTATGAAAACACAGCTGCTCAAGGTCAGCTCCCTAAACACACACACTCAATGGGTCTACTTTGCTCTGCCACAAACCTCTGTGTGTGCCTATGGGCTTTAGTGGCATGACATGGGTGTGCACCAACCCACAAATAGATTTCTACAGCCTACTTCCATGGTATGACCATTAAACACAGTTGCTTTATGATATTCTAGGTCAATAGATGAAATACCACACAGCAAAACATCATAAAAACATGACCACTGTTCAGTTATATTCACAAATGTGAAAGGAGTTTCTTTGTTTAATGGCTTCCAAAGCCTTTCACTCTCAATTAGATGCATAAAACCTTCCTCAATAGCACAGGCTATCTTTCCTTGTGGGCAGATACTAAACGGTATGTAACATGCACAAGTATGCTGATATAACAATGACAGTGCCATGTGAGTTACATCACAGACTTAAGCTACACACGTTTTCAAGAAATCACACGCTGAGCTTTTTATGGTGACCTGTTGCATCACTTCCAGACCGGTAGAAATTTCATGCTTCAACTGATCATCAGAAGAATGATGGCCAAGTCTAATCATATTGATCAGAGAGCCTACAGAAACCTACACAGACCCAGTAAAGCAGCCTCATCCACTGCTGTCCAACAGGCCATCGATCCAGCAGAGCTCCCTTCTGTGCAAACTGGCTGGTCGGTGTCAGTCAGTGGGAGGCTGTAAAGCCAATCAATTTGTGAAGGGTCTGATCAAGTTAACTACTGTATGGTCCATTCATGCTGCTCCCGCACACAAACCCACTAGACATTGCTATTACCTCACTGTGTAATTTAGAATTAATCAGAGCCACAGCTGTACTATGATACGCTGTGTGTTGTCTCAGACACTTCAAATACCACATCAAACTTAGAGTAAATTAGCACAATGCTTGGAAGACTTTGGCTCAATCCTACAGTTGTAATTAAACTGAAAACTGCAATTTTGTATCAAACTACTTTGATTATTCTGCACTAGAGAACCTCTTGATTCCATATACTAAGAGAGAAATATGTTTACAGCTTTAACATTTCTACAGTTGAACTCATTCAAAGGAGGATTTTGGTCAAACCATTTCCTACTGGATATCAGTGCAGCAATATCTTAGTGTACAAAAAGTTCTACTCATAAAAAGGAGAGCTCAGTGGAGTCAGTGTTGATCATGCACTTCATTTAGATCTGCTGTTGAACTTGGCTCTGGCGGTGGAGCTACAGGGACCTCTACAGGTCATAGTGATCAAGAGCTTGTCATGCTACATACTTCTGTATGAATGTTTAGTGTGTGTTTGTGTATAGGGTGAAATGGTTTCAATGAGTGGGTATGCGGTACATACGGCCATCTGTGTATGCTATGTATGTATGTTTTTGCATTTATTAATACGAGCATGAGCATGTATTTCATAACTATGGCATCATGGAGCTTTGTGTCAGTTATATGTGTGGGAGCATATTCACATGAATGAGCGTGGATATGTGTCTGTCTGTCTGTCTGTATGTATAAAACTGAGACTAAATTCAAGCAAATTAAAAAAACGGACAGAGTAAACTGATTACAGTTTGCTAAAAAGCCAGAAAATAAAATACCTTATTATAGTTATATTTAAATAACATTCAGCATTTCCTGATTATTTCAGGCCATTAAGCTGGCATTAGAGTCTCT